GGAGGCCAGATTGCTAATCGAGCTCCTGACGAGCTGGACTGTTGTACAATGGGGTAGTCCGGACTCATTTGACAATGTCTGAGGACTTGGCCGTCGGCGTAACAGTTGGCTTAATGAGGTCACCCTGTACTTCCGCTGCCAGGGCCGCGGTGTGCTCCTCAGTGCGGAGGGAGCGTTCCATGTTTCCATTCACTATTATAACACCATGTGGTCCGGGCATCTTGAGCTTGAGATAGGCGTAGTGTGGGACTGCATTGAAACTAGTGAACGCGGTTCGTCCGAGCAGTGCGTGGTAGCCACTGCGGAAGGGGACGATATCGAAGATCAAGTCTTCGCTGCGAAAGTTGTCTGGTGAGCCGAAGACCACTTCCAATGTGATTGAGCCCGTGCAGCGGGCCTCTACACCGGGTATCACTCCTTTAAAGGTAGTTTTAGTAGGCTTGATTCTTGACGAATCAATACCCATCTTGCAGACTGTGTCCTGATAGAGCAGGTTAAGGCTGCTGCCGCCGTCCATGAGGACTCGCGTAAGGTGGAATCCATCGATGATTGGATCGAGGACTAATATGGATGAACCTCCGTGACGGATACTGGTCGGATGGTCCCTGCGATTGAAGGTGATTGGACAGGACAACCATGGGTTGAATTTTGGGGCGACTGGCTCTATCGTGTAGACGTCCCTTAGCGTGCGCTTGTGCTCCCTCTTGGGGATATGGGTGACGTATATCATGTTCACCGTTTTGACTTCGGGGGGAAATTTCTTCTGACCCCCTGTTTTTGGTGTGCGAGGTTCCTCATCGTCATCCTCACTGGGCGACCCTTTCTCCTTATGTTCGGCATTTAACTTGCCGGCCTATTTAAAAACCCAACAGCTTCTGTTGGTATGGTTGGCAGGCTTATCAGGAGTGTTGTGGATCTGGCAGGGTCGATCAAGTATTCGGTCCAGGCTTGATGAACCATCTTTGTTTTGTTTGAATGGCTTCTTCCATTGACTGGATTTGGAGCCACTAAATCAGGGTTGACTGTCGTACTCTTTGTATCATCATTTTTGCTCCGACGCTTATGTTTGTTGCGTCGGGGCCTTCCGTTGCCGTTTCGGGCTTCGGAAGTGCCGGGGTCACTGGTACTGTTGCCGCTACGGGCTAGCCAGCTATCCTCGCCTGCGCAGAAGTGGGTCATTAGTGTTGTAAGGGCTGTCATGGACTTCGTCTTTTCTTGGCCGAGGTGTCGGGCGAGCCATTCGTCGCGGATGCTGTGTTTGAAGGTTGCCAAGGCTTCGGCGTCCGGACAGTCGACAATCTGGTTCTTTTTAATTAGGAACCTGGTCCAGAATTTTCTGCCCGACTCTCCGGGCTGTTGGACTATATGACTGAGGTCATCGGCATCTGGAGGCCGGACATAAGTGCCTTGGAAGTTGTCTCTAGAGGCATCTTCCGAGTCTTCCCAGCTTCCAGTAGAGTTTTCTGGGAGGCTATTTAACCAGTGCCTAGCTGGTCCCTTAAGTTTTAGGGGAAGGTATTTGATGGCGTGTAGATCATCACCGCAAGCCATGTGAATGTGGAGAAGAAAATCTTCAATCCATACTGCGGGATCTATTGTGCCGTCGTATGATTCGATGTTCACGGGTTTAAACCCTTCAGGGAACTCGTGCTCCATTACCTCATCGGTGAAGCATAGGGGTGTGTGGTGCCTCTGTATCGGGCCATGTCACGACGCAGTTCATATGGAGACCGTATGCGGTTTTCAGCCCGGGGTCGGTTGTGTTTATCGCACCAGGCTTGATAGCCCGCCTCTCGCGCCGGGGCACGCCCCCGCGATCCGTAGATTGACCTGGTCTCACCTGCCCTATTTTCAGGTCCTGTCGTAGGTCGTATGTGTCTTCCCGAGCTGTTGTTTCTCTGCTTTTACGGCGAGGTGGTACGGGCTGGTGTTCGGCTTTAGTTGTCGCTTTGTCCTAGCCACGTAGTGGTCTATCGGGTCCGTCAGCCGCATTATGCACGGGTGGTATGGGCTCCAACGCCTCATTGTCGAATTGGGGTAGCAGCTTGCGCTTCGGGTAACTCTTTTTGGGTCGCTCAAGGCCGTATTCTTCGGCTGCCAAGACATTAGTCCATCTGTCGTTGAGCAGGTCTTGGTCAGCTTGAAGCTTCTATTGTTTCTTTTTTAGGCTTCTAGCCATGGCTATTAGCCGGCGCTTGAAGCGCTCTTGTTCGAGTGGTTCCTCTGGCACGATAAAATCTTCGTCGTTGAGGCTTACGTCGTCTTCGAAGAGTGGCAGATAGTTACTGTCCTCCGAGTCGTTGTTCCATGTTTGTTTGTTAGGGTCAACTTGCCCTTCCTCTCGATCATCCTATTCGGATGTTGGTTCGATGGGGTCTTCTTGGTCTTCGGCGTTTTCCGGAGTATCATTGTCTTTGGTGTTGGTATTGTTGTTCTTGTCGCGACGCGATTTAGAGTGGCGCCGCTGGCGTCGACGTTTCGACGGTATCTCAGGAGGTTCGTCCTGGACTGGATTTTTCTCGTCATCGCCATCACCGTTTTTAGGTATATCCACCATATATACGTCATATGAGGAGGTGGCCGTCCAACGTCCGGTGACCGGCGGGTTTTGGGCCTGCTCCTCTCCGGCATCGTCGTCCATACCGTCGATGTCTTCGGAGGTGTAATCAAGCATGTCGGTTAGGTCCTCGACAGTGGCTATAAAGTGGGTGGTGGATGGGAAGTAAAATTTCCTATTTCCAGCCCCTAGTCCGGGCTAGGTGTGATTCAGAAGCGATTCCTCTGTGATGATGAGGGATCGCATTAGGTCCAAAGCCTTGTTTAAGAGCGGGGTTTGGACATGATCGGAAATTTCCGGACCAAGCTCGCCTGACGCGGGCCTCCAGGGTTCGGAAGTAGAATCCAAAGAAGAGTCCGGCCTTGCAATGATTGCCGGAGACACTATTCTCTCGGTGTTGAGCTCTAAGGCCCTAGAGTGTCCAGCGGGCTCTAGACTCCCGTCTTCGGACCTGATGACGTGCTCCGGATCTAAGGCCGGAGCGGTGGTTGAGGCCGCGAACCCTTGGAAGATCAAGTATCCTCGGATATCAGCGACATAGTTCAAATTTTCAAAATTGATCTGGTGATCAGGGGTGTAGCTGTCGATCTGCTTCAGGTGGCCAACCGAGTTGGCACGCAGTGCGAAGCCGCCGAATACAAAGATCTGACCGGGGAGAAAAATCTCCTTCGCAGCAGTATTGTTGTAGATGATTGATTGAGCCATCGAGCCTTTTGACGACGGCACAGTGGAACTCTCAATGAAAGCACCAATGTTGGTGTCAAAACCGGCAGATCTCGGGTAGGGGGTCCCGAACTGTGCGTCTAAGGATCAATGGTAACAGGAGACAAGGGACACGATGTTTACCCAGGTTCGGCCCCTCTTGATGGAGGTAATACCCTACGTCCTGCTTGATTGACTTTGATGAGTATAGAGGTTACAAGAGTTGATCTACCACGAGATCGTAATGGCTAAACCCTAATTGTCTAGCATGTATAATTATGATTGTGATTGCCTCTACAGACTAAACCCTCCGATTTATATAGACACCGGAGGGGACTAGGGTTGTACAGAGTCGGTTTATAGAGAAAGGAATATCCATATCCGCACGCTAAGTTTGCCTTCCATGCCAAGGAGAGTCTCATCCGGACACGAGGGAAGACCTTCTATCTTGTATCTTCACAGCCCATCTGTCCGGCCTACATCATGTAGCCCGGACACCTGAGGAGCCCATAATCCAGGACTCCCTCACCCACCCCCGCAGCTTTATCATTTACCCCCCCCCCTCCCCGCCCCACCAGATTCTTGTGGCGGACCCCCAGATTCTTGTCTAGCTCCGCCACTGAGGGTATGTCCTATGTGGATGCTCAAGTGTACTCTCTTTTTTCCTCTCAAAAAGGAAAGTATGCTCTCTCTTTTTTCCAGATATTAGAGTATTTAAGTTATTAAGGTTAAAAATAATCTTCCTAAATTACAAAAATTGTGCGGCTTCTGATATTGGCTCGTCCTAGTTTGTGCAAGCTTCGCCAGTGCTCAGTGGAAAAGAAAAACAAAGAAGCCAAAAGCCAAAGCTGTTTAAAAAGTACTCTTTCGAAATCGTGAATAACCAGAAATGGGACTATGTTGATACGGAAGAGGCAAAAGCAAGAAGACAAATGCGTAGTACTCCTTCTGTCCGGAAATATTTGTCATTAAAATGAATAAAAGAAGATGTATCTAAATGTATTTTAGTTCTAAATACATCCTTTTTATTTATTTTGATGACAAGTATTTTCATACCAACCTCACACCAGCACGCAACTAAATCGATTTACCGTTCAAAGGCTCGGCTACAAATTTTATGGTTGCAACTGAACTTCCCAGAATTTGGAAGGTTAGCCTAGCTCCGAATTGCGATTAGTAAATCATTTGATTTCAACTACTCCCCCCGTTCCTAAATAATTGTCTTTCTAGCCATCTCAAATGAACTACAACATACGGATGTATGTAGACATGTTTTAGAGTGTAGGTTCACTCATTTTGCTCCGTAATTTCAACTACTCCCTCCGTTCCTAAATAATTGTCTTTCTAGCCATCTCAAATGGACTACAACATACGGATGCATGTAGACATATTTTAGAGTGTAGGTTCATTCATTTTGCTCCGTATGTAGTCACTTGTTGAAATCTCTAGAAAGACAATTATTTAGGAACGGAGGGAGTATAAGTTTAGTGCATTTCAAGGTATGTTGAGAACCCAAGATAATCCCGCCGGTTTGATTCCCGCCGGTTTGATTTCACAGCCTATTCTCAATTATTGGTTCCATTCATACAGCGCAAGAATAATAAACAAAACGGAAAATCCAGTAACTATTACCGCATGCTCTATAAGTTGATGGGAGATGTTTTCTCTCTAAGTTTCACAAGTCAAATGGCAAAAAACATGGATGTTAATCATCTATGGTTGAACATCACAAGGTATAGTATCAATCATCGCTGCCTGAATCTATATCAGAGCTTGCCCTTTGATGTGCTGCTCCGTTTGCAACCTTACCCTTTCCCTTCTTCTTTTCTTCTTCGTCGTCCTCACTGTACTCGCTCTCGTAATCGTCATACTCCTCTTCTTCCTCCTCCTCTTCCTCCTCAATGCCATCCTCTGCCACTGGCCCTTCTTCAGGCACATAGGTTCTTGTTCCCGCGCGGCTGCGCTTCAGAACCTTCAGCTTAAAGCTAGTCTTGCTGTCACAGCCTATCCATGCGTCGCACAAGCAGAAGGACGTCAGGTTGTGATTGCCCTCTGATGGGGCTTGGAACTTGCCCATCACCAGCCTACTGCCTTTCTTCACTCTGTCAACCGCCTCCCTAACTGCAATTCCTATTTCCTTTGGGCTTGCTCCCAATGCTTCCTGGGTATCTTGTATAGCTTTTGACGCTGCAGTTATGGCGGTAGCCTCGTCCATGAAGCTGATTTTCTGGGATAACCAAACTTCGTTTGACGCTGTGTCCGCTAGAAGCAGCCAGAAGTTCTCTTCCCTGTGGAACGGATAGAAAGGAGCATGGGGAAGGGCAGCAGTTAGCCCACTGCGACGCTGAAGTGAGACCCAAGCATACATTGTGACAACATCACCCTCTTGTATGCCCTCTTCTCCTTCAGTTTCACATTTAATATCCACCTCAACAGTAGGAATCATCTCCAGTACAAGCTCTACATCCCGAGCTTCTTCTTCTGAAAGTCCAGCTACCTGTGTCAGCAGTGTGGCACGTTCCACCTCCGACATATCGCAAAGTTCTTGGAATGCCCTGATTTTCTGCGGTTAAAAATAGAATAAGATGTTACCCTCCAAAGGACAGGCTACTGATTTAGCCAAAATAAAAGTTCACTCTGCTTTTCGTACGAAAACTTTAAGGTTAAGGGAATACCTTGCGGGCAATTTTTTTGACAGTTGCTTCAGTAAAATGTGGCAGCTGCAAGAAAGGTGCTATTCCTTCTGAATTACCTCCACCAGCTTTTCGAGCACTGAGAGGGACAGCCTAAGATATGTATCCAAGTCAAATTTGATTAAACTATTTCCATTGCCATCAGTGGTGACAAACAAGCTTATGGAAGAAAATGTAACAACAGAAGCCAAAAGCTAAGATCAAAAGATGTGAAAGTACAGATGAACTACAACCCAATTTTGCTAACAGATGCAGATGAATGCAATGGTAATGGACTGAGACAAGTAAACAGAATGCGAAACAAACACATGCAGTGTCACTGAGACCAGAAGGTGTCTCATTGTTCACATTGCCATGGTAAACTACCACATCAAGGTGAGTTAGCTACATCCAAGATCCAGCTTCAAAGTAGGCGTTCTGGCCAGATTTAGAGAGGAAAATTATACTCATGTGTACAGTGTGGCAAGATAGTCCATGCTGGAACCTTTCTAGGGTTTCAGTGTTGTGGATAAGTGTGCCGAGGCATCCGCGCAAATTAGGAAAGAGATGTGCAATTTCTTAAACACAAAAAAAAATGAAGCTATGGAACGATATATAGATGAGGAGAATGAAGCTTTAGTTCAAAAGACGATCTGTCATCTACACAAGATGATTTGAGGCCTATGCTTTGCTAACAGTTATCATGTTATGCAACTTGTGGTGCATTTATGTTACAGCTAGCTGTTAAATCTCCTAATCGGCTGCCATATATTACTCCCTCCGTCCCAAAATTCTTGTCTTAGATTTGTCTAGATACGAATATATCTAACACTAAAATGTAACTAGATACATCCGTATTTAGACAAATCTAAGACAAGAATTTTGGGACGGAGGGAGTACATATTTATGCGTCTAATAAGGCGTCGCATCGCCTTACGCTTTAAGTACTTAAAAGGTGAGACGGTGCTACAGCACCTCACATCACATCACCTTACCGCCTTAAAAACATTGCATGGATCTACTATGCTCAAGACATAAACTGCCTTGCTGCAACTTAACACTTGCAGTATAACTGGAGATATCTAATCACCCTTCCCAAGTTGCGATCAAATGAAAAACTGAACAAGTATACCAAACTGACAGAATTCATTCCGTGTTTAGTGAACCATATGATTCGGCCTTTTAACATCAACTTAATGACACGAACCACTAAATGGACAAGATTTTGAATAAACACTAGTCATCCATGGTCAAAAAGGATGGTGGCAGATCTTATAACATCTAAATGTTGGGATGGACAATTAAACTGATGGGTTAGAAGATAAGTTTAGAAGTGAAACAGACCAGATGAATCTAGAAAAATCTAAGATAAACACAAATTATAGTCTACACCAGAAAAGTTTAATGTGGAACAATATATATCGACATATACAAATCAACAGAAACATGAAGTTATTCATCAGAAGTAAGCTGAAGTAAAGGCACATGGAGAACTTCAAAATACCTGAATTATACTTTGAGACAGTTCAACTACACCAATTGCAGGCCTGAGCCATCCAAAACCGTTGGGACTCCTCGGTAGAAGTGCAATCTGCGAACCAATAAGTATATAATTTATGAGCCATCAAATACTAAGAAGAAGAAAAAGGTACACTGAAGCAAAAGCGAAGAAAAAGAATTATAACAGAGTGCAACAAAGAAATTCCCCCCTTCTTTTATTGAAGCACTACGTGTTTAACGGCTAAGGTTATTTATCAAACAAAAACTGTCAGCTATAGCAATGTAAACTCAATTAGACATGTGATGCATCACGCATTCGGATCTCAAGACTAATGACTGATTCATACTTAAATGTCTCGACACCACAAGATTAATACTAACAGGCATGATATTGTCTCACACAGAAAATCAAGCGAAAGTCTTATTTGCATAAACCAGACACTAAACATCCCTGCCATAATGCACATCTGTGAGGCAGGCTCACCTGTTTATATACAGCTACAACCATGAGACAAAATATGGAAACACACTTATGTGTTAGTTAATACAGTAGTACGTATTTTCTACAGAACTAGTCAATAAAAAAATATAAACCATCACAGCTCCACATTTGAAACTTCAACAAGATCTGTCAATTAATCATCCTACATCATACGCGCGAGTCATATTGTGCCAATGTAACCAGACGGGCAAACCCACCCTTACGGTTTATTAAAGGTGTTAACTACGACCAACGTATAATCAAAACCAAGTTACAGAAAACTAAATGTACATAAATCATACCATGCATGTGTCATCTAAATGGTGTATTACTTTTAGTACCTTTCGATATCTCATGGATAAATTATTAGGATTAAATTGCCACAATTTATTAATCATGCTCTGTGTAAGTTCGAATGGCTCACTAGTATTGATAGCCATCCTAAACATCAGCTATTGGCACAACAGTTAATTTAACCAACGCGAAACCCACATCAACTGACCTAAAGCTACCATAATTAAACACAGCAAGATCACACGGCATAAACAAAAGACGGCTTATTAAAGGTGTTAACTACGAACAACGTATAACCAAAACCAAGTTACAGAGAACTAAATGTACATAAATCACACCATGCCTGTGTCATCTAAATGGAGTATTACTTTTAGTACCTTTAGATATTTCATGGGTAAATTATTAGGATTAAATTGCCACAATTTGTTAATCATGCTCTGTGTAAGCTTGAATGGTTCACTAGTATTGATAGCCATCCTAAACATCAGCTATTGGCACAACAGTTAATTTAACCAACGCGAAACCCACATCAACTGACCTAAAGCTACCATAATTAAACACAGCAAGATCACACAGCATAAACAAAAGACAGTTGATATGCAATTGTGCCTGTCATAACTTGTAACAGCTTTTACTCATAGGTCATAGTATGGGGAGAGGAGACAGCATGTGCGAGTTCACAATTAATGAAGACAAGCCGGTGCGAGTTCACAGTTAATGTGACGTTGCTGCTCCTCTGGACGGCTTATGGCAGCGGGTGGCTGCACGGGCGTGGGGTGACGGCGGCTTTGGTCGCTTCAGCGTGGATCCTGTGGTCTCCAGCGAGGAAACTGGGACGGCAGGGCGTGCGCAGATCCAGCGTCCTTTGCGCAGATCTGTCCTCTTGCGGGTTGAGACACACGTCATGGCAGGAAGTGATGCAGCTTGTGTCTTGCATGGTGGTGCTTGGTGGTTGACTATATGCCGTGGATGGAGGGTGGTGAGACAACGGTCGGTGGCGGCATGTTGTTTGCGACGTATGGCTACCCGTGCTCTGATGGATGGCGGGGCTTGATGCAATGACGTTGGGTATGGTGAGCTCCAAGTGAAAGCCTAGCACCAACCGGATCGATGTTGAAGGCAGATTCGGACAGTGTTCGCCTCTTTGGAAGGTGCCGTTGTGGAGCC